CTTATTAGACATAGTCTTCACAAATATTTTTTTCTACTCTGCAAGTTGACTTTTTTTTCTTTTCGCTGTGAAAAGGCTTTTTAGTTTGATGCTTGTTTCTGTCTGTGTTGTTTGTAATTTCAGTATCCAAAAAATCGTAACTGAAACCAATGTCAGGGAGCTTTTTCTTATGCTTTCTTCTCGTTTTATGGTTTCAGACTTTATGCTTCAGTCCTTAATCCACTTTGGTTTTCAAGGAAAGCAATATTTTTCACTGACCTAAGTCTTTCCTTTAATAATATTGGTATATTACCTAATATAATTACAGTACAGGAATTCATCTTCTTTTATTGGAACAGTTCCAATTTTCCATCTCTCTTTGACTACTTTTCAGTAGTACTCTTTTACAAAATAAACCTATGAAAATTGGAAATATCCCATCCTACTTGCTCCTTTCTTTCAAATTTCCACTCCTTCCAATCTGCCTGGTTTTCTTTCCCAGTGTCCATGACTTTAAGTAGCTTTCTATAACATATGTTGAAGTCATAACCTCATTACTTCAGAATGGGACCATGCTTGAACATAAGTCATTGCAGATGTAATCAATTAAGATGACGTCCTATTGGAAAAGAGAAACATAATCAGGTGTGACTTGTCGGTATCATTATAAAAACCAGAAAAGGACACAGACTCCTACACAGGGAGAACTCTGAAGACGAAGACCACAGTGATGTTTCTGCAGATCAAGAAATGCCAAAGATGGCTGGAAATGAAAGAGGCAAGAAGCAGATCCCCTCCCACAGCTCTCAGAAGGACCCAGCCCTGCTGACACTTTGAACTTCTAGACTCTAGAACTATCAGAGGATAAATTTCTGTTTTTAAGCCATTATGTCTGTAGTGCACTATTCCTCCTGACCTAGAGAATTAATATATTTAAAATGCTCAGAGTTTATAAAAGTGGTTGATTAGAAACTTAAACCACTAAACCAGGAGTGAATCTGTCTTATTTGCCTGGGAGTCATTTCGCATTCTCTCTCTCTCTCTAGTTTTCTTATCTATAAAATAAGAATAATAATATCTCACAACATTGTTGGAGGGGTTAAATAAGCTTACATATGTAAAATCATATATAAATGTATATATAATCACATATATACCCACATATGTATACAGATTGAGAGAAAGAGAGATGGAAAACAATACCTTTAACATTGTATGTTCTCAGTAGCTATTAGCTATTCTTGTGCTTCACTCATTGAACTACATGCTATACACCAGGCTCTGCTACGGACACTACAGGTACATCACCAATCAAAACACAAATATCTCACTCTATGAGGTTTATATTGTAGTGACAGGATGCAGACAATGAAATGAATAAGCAAAATATGTCCTATGTTGGCCAATGTTAAGTCCTGTGAAGAGAAATAAAGCAGAGACTATGGATAGGAAGGAACAGACAGTTTTTAACAGGGTAAATTAGGGAAGTATCATTGAGGGAGTAAGCTTTGGGCTTCCTGGGAAAAGAGCATTACAGGCTTTATTAACAAATTGCCTAACACGAGATACTTTATAAATAAAAGGGATTTAATTTAGCTCTCCGTTTGGGAAGCTGAAAGTTCAAGATCAAACAGTTCCCCAGGTTTAGCCTCTGGTGAGGACACCTTTGACTATGTCACAGCATGGTGGAAAAGAAGTAGAGAAATGATTTTTCCCTAGAGGCCAAGTGCATGGGTTGGACCCACCTGAGAGCACACTTCCATGAAAACTAACCTGGGTCCCACCAGAGCTTCATTAGTCCTTTCTGAAGAGAGGCCTCAATGAACTAACTTCCTCCGGCTAGGCCCCGCCTCTTCAAGTTCCACTCCACAGCTCCATCTCAGGGACCAGGCTTCCAACACATGAACAAAAGCACAGCACAGGCAGAAATAACTGCAAGCACAAGTGTCCTGAGATCAAAGCCTGCAATGTTCAAAGGACATCAAGAAGCTCTGCATGGGTGGAGAAGAATGGACGACACGGAAGGCACTAGATGAGTCCCAAGGGGTAATATGGTAGCAGACGGCATATGTCCTTGAAAGGCTTTGGCCTCTGCCCTGAGTGACATGGGAGGTCTCTGGAGGTTTTGAGCACAAGAGTGACATGGTCTGGGGTACATTTTTACAGGACCATCCCTGCCATTATGTGGTTATAGATTTGATAGTAATAGGAACTAGAAGAGAAGGAAGAACAAGAACAGAAATCCTAGGTTGGAATCTACTTCTGGAATCCAGTTTTCTGACCATGATGACTCTAACTAGTTATTTGATACAGGAGGAAAAGCATAGAGACTATAGATATAACAGGCTCTCCTGATGGATTAAATGAGGTATTTGAAAGAAGGAGAGGAGTCATGGATGACTCCAAGGATTAAGACCTACTATGGTTTGAGTGTGTTCCACAAAAGT